CTGGCGCCCCGGCTCATCCGAAACCTGCTAGACCTGCCCAACTCCCGGCTGGCCTTCCAGGTGTGCCCAGCAGGTGAGCCTTTGTGCCCGGGAAGGGGGAGGCAGGGTGGCAGCCTGGGACCTGGGACCTGGGACGGCCAGGCCCCCGGCCCTTTGACCTGGCTCCTCCCTGCTCTGCAGAAAGTCTCTCTGGGGAGGAGCAGGGCCCATCCTCCGCACCCGGAGCCCCCAAGGCCCGGCCTCCCACCCCGGGGCTGGGTAACAGGATCCGTACCATCCAGGAATCTGTTGGGAAGGTAGGTGCCGCGTGGGGGCCGCCCTCCTAGGCCTGGGAACCAGCCTGAGTTCAGGCTTGTGCTGCTCTGGGCGAGTCCCCTCCCTTCTGGGGGCCTTTCCTTCCCTGCGGATGGGTTGGGCCAGGGTAGTTGGCTTCATGTGGGTCTCCCTTGAGGTGTTTGGCTGATACATCTCACCTATTTGTCTCCTTGTCCTCAGACTCTCCACTGCCCCGGGAGCTGGCAGGGACTGTGGCGGTGGGGGTGGGGCTACTGCCACCCTACAGATGGGGAGGCTCAGGTCCAGAGGGGAAAGTGACTTATTTTCCCAGGTCTCCCGCCTTCCCTTTGGGTTCTTCCCTCACTGCCAGGTCTCTCTGGATGGGGAGGAAGGACCCTGTAAGGGGCTGTGCTTGCTGGGGGGCCTAGGGGGGGTCGGTGTAGGGATAGGGGGTGCGGTGGGGGCGGGGACCCAGGGAGGTGAGTGTCTCTGGGCTGGGAGTAAAATGAACCTTGACCCCTGAGAAGAAGCACTGCCTGCTGGAGCTGGGCACGCGGGGCGTGCGGGAGCTGGTCCAGAACGAGATCTACCCCATCGTCATCCATGTGGAGGTGACCGAGAAGAATGTCCGGGAAGTCAGGTGAGGCGGGACCCCAGAACCACTTCCTATCTATGGACGTCTGTCTCTTCTCCACCTTTCTTTGCCATCTGTCTCTTTTTGTCTTCCTCCACGTTCGTCCTTTCTCTCTAAGTCTCCATCTTTGTGTCTGTCTGTCTGCCTCTGTCCCCTACTCTACCCACTGCCCACTCTCTTCTCTTGGCAGGAGTCTGCTGGGCCGGCCGGGCTGGCGGGACTCAGAGCTGCTCCGGCAGTGCCGCAGCTCCGAGCAGGTGCTCTGGGGGCTGCCCTGCTCCTGGGTGCAGGTGCCTGCCCACGAGTGGGGCCACGCGGAGGAGCTGGCCAAGGTGGTGCGCGGCCGGATCCTGCAGGAGCAGGCCCGCCTTGTGTGGGTGGAGTGTGGTAGCAGCAGAGGCTGCAGCAGCAGCAGCAGCGAGGCCTGAGGGGCCCCTTCTGATGCCTGCGGCTTCCTCGCGCACTTTGGAAGCCACCAGCGGGGACCCTGGCGTCTGTGGTGGAGCTGGGACCTCCCTGTCCTGAGCCTTCTCAGGCCCTTAGGCTCGGCCCTGGACTCTGACTGACTGATCCTGCCGGAGCCCTCGGGTGGGACTTCTACCTGCCTGCCCCCTACTTGCTGCTCTGGGCCTTCCTGTGGGCCCCTGTGTCTCCGTGTCCCCGCTCGTGGGTCGGTGTCCCTCCATCACTGCCTACCCCGGAGTGTCAGAGTTCTCACTCCATGTACAGTTTTATACACCCAGTTCTCACGGGGCGGGTCTGCCGGCTCTCAGCCTGTCCTGCTCACAGGAGCCCGGAGCCCGCCCTTTGTGACTGCCACCCGTCCAGCTCACATTTCTTGTATTTATGTCCACACGTAGGCATCATAGCTGCCCTGGTCCACTGTCACCTGTGCCCCTGTGTCTTGTAGTCACACACGTGTCCGTGGTTCTCCTGTGTAAATGCCATGCCCCCACCCCCATGATACGTGGGCACTAACATGCGTGTGTTCCCAGTGAGCACACCGAGGGCCATGTTCTCACAACGCCCACTCCCTGCCCCGCCCCTTCTCGAGGGACAGGAGGGGAGGGGCCTGGCTGCTCCGTCACCAGAATGTACGGCTCGCAGATTTTTAACGGGCCTTTTTCACTCAGAAGCTGCACATTATGGAACATTAAACAGTTTGTCATAGAAGTCTGCCTTTTGCTTGCTTACATGCCTGGTCTGGGGTCCCCCTTCCCTCCCCCCACTTGTCCCCGCCCCCAGCTCAGGCTCATACCACCTTTCAGGTCCTGCTCGCCCTTGGGGAGGGTCAGATTTCGCTCCTGCCTCATCCCAGGCCGCCCGCCATCTGCGCCGGCATCCCCTTACCTGCCCCTGAATGACCGGAGGAGGGCCCCACGGGTAGGCCGCCCCTACAGTTAGCCCAGTCCGTGTCTGATCATCAAAGGAGCGTCCTCTGGAGTTGGGAAACCAAGGCCGGCGGGGTGTGGTCTGGAGGTTGAGGGGCCTGGCTGCCGAGTCCAGGAGACCAAGAGCGAGGCTTCAGTGTGCTGTCGGGCCGAGAGCTCCTGCAGGGAGGGGAGGGTCACCTCCACCGGGAGACGCCCAGGCGGGCCTACTGGGGGGGGGGGGGTGTCACTTGAGCTGGGGGTTTGAGATTCTTTTCTGCAAGAAACATTTATTGAACCTGGTGCCTATGTGCTGTCCTAGGTCCTCCTATGACTGTCCTCGGTAACAGTAATGAACTTGGGGAGTCCCCCTGGAGGTGTTGGGGGAGGGGTTACTAAGTGGAGGAAACCTCCAGAGCAAAGGCTCAGGAGCAGGAAATGGGTTGAGTTTGGCCACTGGGAGGTCATAGGAGATGAGGCTGGGAAGTCCAGGGCAGGAGGCTGCCGGATTCTTAGTGCTTTCTGAGGTCTGGCTCAGATACCATCTCCGTGAGGGCTGCTTGATCCTCTCAGCCTTCGGGAATTCTCCTTGGCCGTGCTGCGCCCTGCCTGTGCAGGACGGTGGGCCCCTGGGGGTGGCTGTGGGCTCCTCGGGTGAGGCGGCTCGGCCATTCTTGTTTGGGTAAATGAACCCCTCCCCTCGTTGCTGTGTGCCCGGTCCTTGTGTCTGGATGAAGATGCGGGAACCCAGGGGCTCAACGGCCTTCTGCCGGTCCCCTGTCAGGTGACCTTCCCATAGGGTGGAGGAGCCCACTAACCCTTTAATTTTTCACCACGTTGTATTTTGGTCCCTGTTCTATAAATGATGAAAAGTTCTGAGAGGTGAAGTAACTTGCCCAGAGTCAGAGCGTCAGGAATTGAACCCCGGTCTGCGTGGTACGAAGCCTGGGGTCATCTGGTGACGCTGTTCTGAGAAGATGCGCTGTGAGGGGAGGGGCCTGGCAGGGGGCTGGCCTGTGGCAGGGTGATTCCAAGGGGCTGGTTTTCCTTTATACTGTCTCCACGGTCCTGCTGTAGGGATGCGCCACAGCAGGCCCAGATCAATTCACACTCAGTGCCATTGTGTTTGATTAACAAATATTTATTGAGCTCCTACTATATGCCAGGCACTGTTCTATGAGCCGGTATTCAGTGAATAAAAAAGAAAAAATCTCGCCCTGGCTGGTGCGGCTCAGTGGATTGAGTGCCGGTCTGCAAAGCAAAGGGTCACCGGTTCCATTCCCAGTCGGAGCACAGGCCTGGGTTGTGGGATGGGTCCCCAGTTGGGGACATGCGAAAGGCAACCACGCATCAATGTTTCTCTTCTTCTCTTTCTCCCTCCCTTCCCTTCAATAAATAAATAAATAAATAAATAAATAAATCAATCTTTTTTTCTTTCTCTCTTTTTTTTTTAAAGAAGAAATCTCTGCCCTGATAAAACGTTCAGGATGCTGGGAGAGGAAAAGTGCTCTGGAGAGCACATAGTCGAAAAGGCCTGGGAACTAGTTGGAGAGAAGGGATTGCAATTGAAATGAATGAAGGGTCCTGGGAAGGCCTCAGGGTAAAGGTGACGTGTGTGTAAAGACCTGAAGGAGGTGAGGGAGTGAGATGTGTGGCTCTCAAGAGAGGCCCAGGCAGGGACAGTACAGCACGTGCCATGGCCCTGAGGTGGGTGAGTGCCCGGATGGGCCAGAAGCCCAGTGGGTCTGGAGTGGAGGGCGCAAGGGGAAGGTTGTGGGAGGCGGGGTTGGAAGTAACAAGGGGCTGGCTCACAAAGGGCCTGTAGGCTGGTGTGAGGTCTTCAGCTTTTATTCAAAAAGGGAGATGGGAGCCAGTGCAGGGTTCTAGTGGGGGAGGGGTGACATGTGAGTGACCTTGTGCAAAACTAGATAGGGCGGTGGAAGGAGAAGGCACTCTGTCTGTCCACTGGCCTGGCAGGGAGAGAGGCAGCAATAGCGACTGCCCAGGGAGATGGGGCATGGCAGGCCATGGCAGGACAGGCAGCCTCGGGGGGCCTCCTGTGGGCCAGAGACCGGGGGTCTGCCTGGCTCTGTGAATGGCTGCTGGGTCATTTTAGATCATTCTGTGCCTTCTGTGTTCAGCTCTAACCTGGGAGTAGCACTTCTAGTGCTGTTGTGAAGACTAAAGAAACTGAGCAAACTACCATGGGGGCCCTGGAAGTTGGCGGGGGCATCCTGGAAGGCTTCCTGGAGGAAGAAATCCTTGAGCTGAGCCTTAACGTCTAAACAGAATTAAGCCTGGTGGAGGGGACATGAATGGGGATGGCAGGGCATGGGGAGAGCATCCAGGAGGAGGAACAGTGTGAACAAAAGCTGCGAGGCTGGATACCAGGACACCATAAAATAACGGGCGTTGGATGAGCTAAGCTGGCAGCCTCTGGGGAGTGGGAAGGCAGGAGGGTCCCTCTGTTCCATCCGGCCTTGGAGGGTTTGTTGTCCCCACCCCCACTGCAGTTGCTGGCAGGGATGAGGCTGTCCCTTCAGCTGCCTCTTTTTCAGCCACCTCTGGGGCTCCCCTGGGCCGGCCCCGCCTCTGGGCTGTGCTGGAGGGAGGGGCGGGGCCAGGAGCCCCAGAGCCCGCTGGGCTTCGGTGGCGGGAGGGCAGCCAGAGCAGGTGGGGGGCTGGTGGAAGGAGGCGGAGGCAGAGGCGGAGGCGGAGGGGCTGCCATGGCTTGGCCTCTGGGGCCAGAGCACCGGTTCCCACCTCTCCCCTCCTTGCTGGCCCCTGATGCCGGCCAGACGTTTGCCTTCGCCGGGGCCCCTGCCTGACCAGCTTCCCCACCCCATCCAGCTGGGATTTGGGGGCTGAGCTGTCGGGGGTCCCAGAGCCAATGCAGTGCCGGCTCCTCAGGGGCCTGGCAGGAGCCCTCCTCACACTCCTGTGCATGGGGCTCCTCTCCCTTCGGTACCATTTGAGCCGGTCCCCGAAGAGCAGGGAGACCCCCATGCTGAGCCCACCGAGCCCTCAGCCCCCTGAGCTGCAGCTGCAGGATGTCTTCATCGCGGTCAAGACGACCGGTGCCTTCCACCGCTCTCGCCTGGAGCTGCTGCTCGACACGTGGGTCTCCAGGACCAGGGAACAGGTGACAAGCTGGTCACGGTGGGCCCCAGGAGTGGCCCCTGGCCCGAGGGACTCGTGGCTGCCTCTCTGCTGGGTTGGGGTCTCTGGCAGCCTCGAGGGAGAGGCTGCCCGCCCATTCCACCTCCTGCCCAGGATCCAGGGGGCCCTGCGGCCCTGGCTGCGCCCCACGCTCGGCCTGGAGTCACTGCTCCTCAGGCCCACGGCTCTGGCTCCTTGAGGCGCCACGCTGGGCTTGCTACCCAGGCTTCCGGGTCCCTCTTGGGGATTCCTCTGTTCCCTGTGAACCCTGGTGTGGGCTTCTCTCCTGCCCAGCCTGGCCCAGCCTGGCGCTGGGGGCGATCCATGGCGGGTGTTGGGCAGCTGGGGCAGAGGCCTTGAAGGAGCCCTGGCTGACGTGACCCCTGCGAGGCTGCCCCCGGCGCAGGCCCTGGGCGCCATGAGAGCAGGCCCAGCCCCTGAGGAGGGGGCCGTCTGGGTGGGGCCTGCTGGGGAGAAGGCCGGAGTAGGGGGCATCCTTTCAGCATCCCTACCAGCCCCTGCCCCCATGGCTCTGGTGCCTAGGGTGTGCCAAGGGGGGGCCACCTCAGCTCCTGTGCTCATGTCCTGTGGGGCAGTTTCTGAGGGAGGGAGGAAGGGTGTGTGCTGTGACCCGGTGGCTGAGGCAGAGGTGGGCAGGAGGTCAGGGTAGGGCCTACCGAGTAGGTGGGATTGTGTGTGCGTGCCTGCGTGTGTGTGCGTGCAGCAAAAATGTCAGTGCTAGACGTGTCGATGAGGGGTGTGTGGGTGACAAGAGCTCATGGCTTCTGTCTTCCCCCAGAGGCGGCTCTGACGAGCTGGGTCTGTCCCTTCTCTTCCCCACTCCCAGTGCCTCCTCAAGCAAAGTCAGTGGCTTGCGGGTGTTGGGAACCGTCTCTGGGAGAGGTGGAGGGGCAGATTTACACACACGCACGCACGCAGGTGCGCGCGCAGGCGCACACATGTGCTGTCCCCATACTTTGGCGGGTGGCTCAGGAAAGGAAGTGACTGAGCCTTCAGAGGGGGTTAGGGACTCCTGGAGACCAAGGAAGGTGGGGAGGATGCCTGGAAGAGGCCAGGGACCCCTGGGGCGAGGACACCCGTGTAGTGATTTCCCAGTCCTGAAGTCCTAGTGCCCTGGGTTAACCCTTTCCCCACCAGGCCCCAGCACCCCTGGCTCTTCCCTGGAGCACCGCCCCCGCACCCCACCCCCCGCCCTGCTTCTCCTCTCGGGGCAATTCTGGTTTTAGTCGCGGAAGTCGCTGAGCCTGGCCCTCCCCACAGGCCTTCCTGTTTATGGCGCTGTGTCTGTTGTACCCGGGAGTGTGGCCTCACGTGGTCTGAGGCCCTTTCCTGTCTTGTCTTGATCACCATGGCGGTGCCCTTGTCCAAGACGAGGAAACTGAGGCCAGAGAGGAGGAAGCGCTGGCCTTCCCTGCTGAGACCCGGGGTCCCAGAGCTGCTTGGAAAGAGCCAAGGTGGCTGGGCCTGGCAGGACCCGGCCAGCAGAGGAGCGGCAGTGGCAAGAAGCCAGCCCCTGTGTGTCCCGAATTCAATCCCAGATGCCAACCAGGAAGCCAGAGGGAAAACCTGCCAGCTGCTCAGCACCGGAGGGGCTGCGTGTCACAGGGCAGGGCTCTACTGAACCCTCGCAGCCACCCCGAGCGGCAGCTGTTGCGGGGTCGGTGGCACATTCTGGTCTCCCCAGACCGTGCCGCCCTGCCATGCAGATTATTTCAAACAGAAAACAATGAAAGCCCAACATGCTCAGGAAGAGGTTCAGACCTCTGCCTTTCCTGCCTCAAGAGTTTTGGATGGAAGAACCTGCTTCAGGAAGGGACCCTTAGCACAGTCACTTTAGCATCTTTGACTTAAGTGTGACAGGCAGGGAGGATTTGAGCACAACCTGTTTGCTGGATTCCTGTTCTGTCCCGTTATTTCTCGGTGGCGCTGCTAGAATTTGTTTACCAAATGTTGGCTCCTCCTTGTCTGCCTGGGAATTGCCTGCCTCCGCCTTTTCAATCCAGAAGTCTCACTAGTTCTGGAATTTTCATGCTTCTGTGAATTCCCTGTGTGCAGGTATTAAACTTTGGTTTTTACCTGTTAGTCTGCTGTATTTCGCTTGAGCGATTTGACCAGGCAGAACTAAAGGGGTAAAAGGGGGAAGTGTCCCCGGCCGACACTCTTGCTATACCCATTTCACAGGCGAGAAAACTGAGCACCATTAAGCAGGCAGAGGAAGGAGATGAATTCACTCAGTGGAATCCCTGCCCTCACCCCCAGTGCAAGGGGCAGAGTCTAGAATCTTGTCTTTTAAGGCAAGGCTGAAACGAGGAAGGATGCTCAAACGAGAAAGAGGAGGGGACACAGGGTGACCCACTTTTGCTATTGCATCTGGTTCCTCTTTGTCTCCACCCGTTGGCTCATCTGCCTCTGTGCCCTTGGCCCTCAGTTTCCCCATCTGCACAGGAGAGGCGGACCTTGGAGCCTCTCTCGGCTCTGCCTGTCAGGAGGGGGCCCGAGCTGGTTAACTCCAGGGTTGGGCGCCCGCCCCAGCTGGTTAAGGGCGGCCTGGTGGCAGGTGGGCCTTTGTGGCAGCGGCTGCAGCTCGTGTGCAGGCCTTTGTCCCAGGCAGTGGGGGTGGGCTGGCGGAGGCACGTTTTGCGAGCCTTTCTCTTCTCCACAGTCCCCTCCAAGGCTGGGGCGGGGCTGGGGCGGGAGGGGTGGGGGAGCAGCGCAGGCCCCACATCTCCCCTTCTCTGTAGCAGATGGCTCTCTGGCCAACCCCTTCCCTCCCCCCAGCAGGCTGCTGTGCCTTTGTTTTCCTGCCAGGTTTTAACCATTGTCAGGGTCCCCTCTTAAAACAAATCACACGTAACCCTTGCTCAGAGGAAGCTGCCCACTGCTCCGTGCCAACCTCAGGGTTCCCATGTGTCTTGCCCAGGCCCCAGGCCCTGCTGGGGCACCCCTCCTTCCCCCTCCCCTACTGATTCATTCCAGCTTACTGGCCCATCAACAGACATTCCCTGGCCCATTTGGCTCATGCTCCAAACTCTAGAAAGTTCCTCCATCTGGTGGCTCTTTGGTGGTAAAAGTTCATCAGGGAGTGAAGAAAGGCCTGACTTATTCTACTGGCTCCCTTGGGGGTTGTGTTGAAAACAGACATGGAGTTGGGGGCAGGACAGAGCCCAAGGAAAAGGTGACCCCCAGCAAAGCAGGCGGGAGTGACGAGGGCTGCCCTGCAGCGTGGCCCTGGAGGCGGTGGGGAGAGGTTGCATCCTGGGTCATTTAAAGGTTGGCTGGATGGAATTTGCTGACAGACTGGATGAGGTGGGGGTGAGAGAAAGAGAGGAGGCACGGTGACCCCAAGGTGCTGGGTCCCCACAAGACGGGGAGACTGAGAGGAAGTCCAGGTCTGGGGGAGCAGGGAGCTCTGTCTTGAGGCTGGAGACTGGGGACCCCCCTCGGGGGGGATGTCGTGGCTATGGCAGGATTGGAGAGCAAGGGAGAGGGCCCAGGCCTGTGGATCTGAATCCCAGCTCAGCACGTGCCAACCACGTAGCCTGGGATTAAAATCCCTCAGCCTCAGTTTTGCCATCTGCGACGGGGATGGATCCCAACACCTGTCTCCACGCTTGGTGCGTTTGTCAGGGACCAGGAGGGTGGAAGCGGTGGGCGCCTGCCCAGCCTGGGAAGGCGGGACTGGGCCAGCAGGTAAGGTTTCCTTGCCGCGTCGGGGCCCCAGCTACGGAGGTTGTGGCTGTCGCCTGAAGTGGTGCGGGGTCCTCACGTGTGGGTCTTTTCACAGTCCGTCTCCTGCCAGTGTTTAGGGTTGGGTCTATGTGATAGTGAAGGAGCCAGATGGAACTCTGTGTGTGGGGGGTGGGGGTGGGGGTAGAAGAGGGTGTGGTCCTGCCAAGGCTGTGTGACCGCTGGGGTCCCTGTGAGGGTTGGTGTACAGTACACAGTGAGGTTGTGTGTCAACAAAAGCTCAGTTGTGAAGGGAACCAGAGCCTTGCCACCCTGCAGCTGCTCTCTGGGATATTGATTTTAAGCTGTTTATTAAGAAACAAGACTCAGGAGGAGCCTTTGACCCTCCCCCGTTCCCTGAGTGAGAAGGAGCGCTGGCTGAATCACCGTAAGAATTCCCACTTGCTCTGGCAGGACCCCGAGCCTCTTAGCTACACGCCCCCACCGTGTCTCACTGTGGCTGAGTTGCCCCAACAAAGATTTGCCTGCCATGTGTGTTCGCTCTTTCTCAACTACCTGCAAATTGCCCATTCTCACTTCTGAAATCGAATACCCATCCCCCCCCCCCGCTTCCTCCTGTGTCCACATGTCGCCTCTTCCCAGCGCAGCCTCCCTGTCTTTGGAGCTTCCAGGCCTCTGTGGATTTCCCACACGCATGTGTTAAAAACTTTGATTTTCTCCTGTTACCCTGGCTAGGTTAATTTGATCATTAGCCCAGCTAGAAGAGCTTAGAAGGTGGGAGGAAAAGTATTAATATTTTTGTAGCCCCACAGTTGTGTGTGTGTGTGTGTGTGTGTGTGTGTGGTATGGGGGGCGTACCTGAGAAAGTCATGTTACCCTGTGGGAGTGTGTGACTGTGAGGGGGGTGTGTCTGTCCCTGGAGGATGACAGAGGTCTGCCGGGTGGGGATGTACAGGTGGGTTTCTGGGGGCTCCCCTCCCACCTCCCTGTTGCCTTCGGCCGAGCCCAGTCCTCACTCCTCTCTCTTCTTCGCAGACATTTGTCTTCACTGACAGCCCGGATGAAGGTCTCCAGGGGAGACTGGGTAACTCTGCCTGGCCCGGGTGGGTGGCTGTCCCCTGGCTTGGGAGTCCCCAGGAAACAAGGCTGCTACGCTTGGCACGTGGGGATCCCCTGTTGCCCAGGAGGAGAGCAACCTTTGTCCCTGGAGGTGGGTGCGGGTGAGGCGGGACCATGTCAGACGAGACCCGGGATACCTGGGTCCCAGCGCAGCTGTCCCTGAGCTCTGGCATCCTGGGCAGGTCAGTCCTCCCTGACCTCAGTTTCCTGGTGTGTCAAAAGGGAGTGTGGGGACTTCTCCAGGCCCTCGGAGGCCTTGCCCTGTCGTCACAGAACGTCGGTGAGGGAGGAGCTGGGTGGGGCCTCTGACTTGTCCTTGCTCCTCCAGGGCCCCACCTTGTGGTCACCAACTGCTCTGCGGAGCACAGCCACCCAGCCCTGTCTTGCAAGATGGCCGCTGAGTTTGACGCCTTCTTGGGCAGTGGGCTGAGGTGAGTGATCTTGGTCGCTGCTGGCAGGTGTGGCCTTGGCTTCAGGCCACTTTACGTGTGGGGTGTTGTGTCGAAAAAGGGAGAAGGGAAAGAGGGAAGTTGGCTGGGTCCTGTGAATGTCACCATGGAGGGCCCCCTGTGGTTTGTCTTTGGGCAGACTGTGTAGATTCAAATCCTGCCATTCACTGGCTGTGGGGGTGGGTGGGGCAAGTGTCTGAACCTTTCTGAGTCTCAGTCCCCACCGGTTAAACGGGCACAGCTCCCTCAAGAGCTCACACAGGACACTGCCTGGCACAGAACAGCTGTGAGCCACCCCGCCCTGTGACTGATCGTTCATTGATTATAGGGGCACAGTGGCCAGCAGCAGCCCTCGGGAAGCCCCCTCCAAGCTCACTGTCTCCCTGCCACCCCTACAGGTGGTTCTGCCACGTGGATGATGACAACTATGTAAACGCAAGGGCGCTGCTGAAGCTGCTAAAATCCCTCCCGCAGACCCTCGATGTCTACATCGGTCGGCCCAGCCTGAACCGGCCCATCCACGCCTCTGAGCCGCAGCCGCACAATCGCACGGTCTGTCCCTCCTGGACGCCTCGGGGCATTGGCCGCTGGCCAGGGCCCAGCTTGTGCCGGGCAGGGTTTGGGTCTGGGGCTAGGCCGCGAGCAGGGCTGAGGAGGAGTTGGTGGGTTCTCTGGGCTTCAGATTGGGCCTCATGGCTGTGTGTTTGGGCTGGTGGCTTTGTCTCTGATCCTCGGTCTCCTCTGTGGAATGGGGAGGCTTAGAGAATGTTGGTAAGGCTGAGAGACTGTCATACAGCAGGGCCTTGGTCCTCGAGGAGTGGTGGCTTGTCCTGGGCACGGAGTGAGTGTGGGGATGAGCTGAGGCTTCCGGGCTCCACAGCAGGGCTCCCAGCCACCTGGCATGTCCTGTAGTTGTGCAGGTGGTTACAATGCTGGATGCTGCTGGGCCAGCTCCTAACTGCTGGGGCTCAAATCCCTGAATACTCCCCTCCCCTCGGTGGCCCCCCTTCCTCCAGACTTCACTAACTAGTGCGAAGACTTGACACCTGGCACAACAGGTCCCCAGCTCCAGTGTCCGCTCCAGGCCTGGGTGGACTCCAGACCTGGGCGGACACTGATTAGGGTTGCTGGATTTAGAAAACAAACAAACAAAACCAGGATACCTGTTGAATTTGACTCTCAGACGAACAGTTTCCTAGTATGAGTATGTCGCTTGGTTTCCCACCTGTCCCCAGGACATCACCAGGCTTTCGGTGTCGGGAGGCCAGGCCTCTAGGGCTCCGTCGGTCCCGGGGAAAAGGCAAGTCCAGGACCGCTTGTGTGGAGGCCGTGTGGGGGCTGCCCCCTCCCTAGGTCACCATCTGCTTCACTAGGGAAACCAAGAGAGCAGGAAACACAAAACCTTAATTAGCAGCTAATGAGCCTCCGAGCCCTAATTAAATCCTCCTGGGCTCCAAGATGTGTGTCTGAGTGGATTTCAGGTGAGCTGAGGGGACCCCTAGGCTCCCTCACCACCTCGCCCCTCCTGACCTTGGAGGTGGTGAGCTCTGCTCTAGAGCCAGATGCCCTGGGTTCACACACCAGCTCTGCCACCTCTCGGCTTTGTGACCTTGATGGAAACACCTCCCCATTCTGTGACTCAGTTTTCTCACCTATGAAATGGGTAGTAATAGCCCCTTCCTCATAGAGTGGTTGTGAGCAAAAAGAGAGTTGAGTGGCCTCCATCCTGGTGCTTGGAATGGGGCCTGGTATGTAACAGACACTGGTAAGTGTTAGCAACCAGTACCCACGGGGCTCAGCCCTCCTCTCCGGGCCCCGGTCTTCCCGCGTGGGTTCTGCGCCCTGCAGGGCACACCCAGGCCCGGTCCCCCACAGTGCGCGGGGTGCCTGCCCTCCGTGGCGCATGCCCTGCCAGTGGCATGCTAAGACTCTGCCCCCAGGTGCCCTGGCCTGGTCAGACCCCGGGGTCCTCCAGGGTGACCCAGCCAAAAGGGCAAGAGCTCTGACTTGGAGTTAGTCCCAGCTCTGGGACCTCGGGCCGGTGGCCTCACTCCTGTGCACCTGGGCCACCTCATCTGCGGCATCGCCCTTAGCAAGGAGCTCAGCGCAATCAGTGCTCAGGATTTGGCAGTTCTGTTGTCGCTGCCGCGGTTGCTATAATCATCTGGGAGCAGAGGCCATGCACCCGTTAATTCATTGAACATTTATTAGACACCTCCTGTGTGTTAGGTCCTTAAGAAGCCATTCGTTCTGCCTCATTGAGCCTGACCTCTAAGAGGGCAGCGTATCCAGAACCAGGCTCATAGAGGTTTTCAGCAGGGGGACGTTTCTGGGCCAGGAGAACCATCCGATTTCAGAACGTAGGGCCAACTCACAGGTGACACTCACGGGTTGCACTCACAAGAGACAACTCAGGTCCAGAGAAGGGCAGTGACTTTCTCAGAGTGAAGGAAGCATGGGACCCAGTATCAAGCTTCCCGACTGTCCACCGGGGGGTCTTTTCACTGCTGCATCAGGGCAGGTGCAACGCACTGCAACGTGCGTCAGTGAAGCAACCACTGTGCGCTGGGGAGGAGGAGGCCTGGGGGAACTTGTTTGACCAAGAGATGGTGCAGCTGAAAGGGCCCAGCGCTTCTCTAAAGCCGTAGGAGGATTCATGGGCGAATTCACGGGCCTCACGGAGGAGCTAGAAGGGGCCTCGGTGATGATGGGCAGGCGCAGAAAGTGGTTTAAATCGCCAAGGGATGTTATTGGTTCCTGAGATTGAGCTGCCAAGGGGTTTGCTGGCCTCGGGGGCTCACAGGCCTGCCTGTCCTCTCTTTACTCAGGGAGGGGTCTCATTCTCTCCTTTTGTGGAAGAGCTTTCTCAGGCCCGGGAGCTACGGCTGGCAGGACAGTCAGTGTAGGTGTCCCCGTGCAGGTGGCCTCAGGATTATAGCTGGGGGCCTGGTGGGAACGCCTCTTCCTCAAGGTTAGCACAGAAAGCTCCGGAAAGGACTCTGCTTGGCTGGCCTAAGTCATGTGCCTGTTGCTGAGCCAATCACTGGGTCAAGGGGTGTGTGTGGCCCTGTGGTCGTCTCTGGGGCACCTGCCCGCCTCTGTGGCCTGGGGGAGCAGGTGCTGATTGGCAGCCCCTCCCAACCACATGGGCTAAGGTGTAGACATTTCTCTGGGGAAAGGGGTAAGGTGAGCAGGACGGACAGACAGCACACATGCCCTCTTTAACCAGAACCCCACCAGACTGGGGTCTAATTGGTGTCCTTATCACTCTTAATTGGCTATGTGATTTTGGGCCTTGGTTTCCTTGTCTATAAAATGGGCATGATAACGTTAGGCTGTAGCGGGGCTCTACGGAAGTATGAAATAAAAAGCTTTGGGGCCAGGCTGGCTGGGGGTGAGGCGTGGCCTGGCTGTTGCCCCCCCCACCCCCACCCCCACCCTGGCTCACTCTGTGCCTTGGCTCTCCCCCGCTCCCAGAGGCTGGTACAGTTCTGGTTCGCCACCGGGGGTGCTGGCTTCTGCATCAACCGCAAACTGGCTTTAAAGATGGTGCCATGGGCCAGGTGAGCAGAGACCCCAGGTGGGTTGGGGAGGGTGGGAGGTGCTGAGAGCTGGTGGTGCCTGGTGTGTGTGTGTGGCGGGGGGGAGGTGCTTTGCAACAGGGAGGACTTGAGCCAGTGCTTGGGAGGTCACACAGTACGCAGGAGGAGACAGATGCTGGAGCTGAGCTCTGCTCTGCCAGCCGGTCCCCACGGAGGGGAGGCAGGGGGGGCCCTAGGTGTTGAGGGTGCAGGGCGGTGGCCATAGCACGGCTCTGTCTCTCAGCGGCCACCGCTTCGTGGACACATCTGCGCTCATCCGGCTGCCTGACGACTGCACTGTGGGCTACATAATTGAGTGCAAGCTGGGGGGCCACCTGCAGCCCAGCCCCCTCTTCCACTCCCACCTGGAGACCCTGCAGCTGCTGGGAGCTGCTCAGCTCCTGGAGCAGGTGAGCCTCGGCGCGGGTGGCAGTGGGGGAGGTGTTTGTGGGTTGAGCTGTCCCCTAGAGACAGGGAAACTGAGGCAAAGTACCCCTTTAAGGGCAAACAGTGACTCTCCACCTTCAGACCTCAAGGGTGTGAAGCTAAAATTCTGTGCTCTGGTCCCCGAGTGCCAGCTGGAAGGGCCTGCGCAGACGGGATGAAGCTTGCCTTCCCTCCTGCCCCTCTCTCCTTTCTTCAGTCTCCCACCCTCCCCACAGCCCCCCGAAGGGGCCTGGCCTGTCCCTTCCAGCCTTGCCTGCCAGCAGGCCCTATCTTCATCAGAGCTTCCCTGCTCACTGCTCGCTGCTGTTCCTCCCAACCCAGGTGTTACTGGGAGGGACCAGGTCTTCAGCGAGGACACTCAAGCGCAGTGTCAGGCTCGGGAAGGGGTGGGCCGCGTCCCCCCACCCGGCAGGTAATGACTCTGCCGAGGTCCCATGGGCACTGCCTTGCAGACAGATGCTCTTCTCTGGCCCCTGGGTTTCCAGCCCTGTGGGTGGTCCAGGCTGGGAGACCGCTGGGATCTGCCACCCAAGAGTGCGAGTCAGAACCCTTTCTACCCGAAGTGGTAGCAAAGCATCACAGACCGGATAAACAAAAAAGGGCAGTTACGGCCCGCGCATGTGAGAAGCTGAGGGCTGGGCTTGACTTGCTGATCTGGATGGGCCTGGTGCGGGGACTCTGCTCCTCTTTCATGCGCCTTCCCCCACGCGGACCTCGGCCCAGGCAGGCTCGTGCCCTTGTGGGCAAGGTGGCAGGCCCAGGTTTCTCTCGGCCCGAGGAGGAGAGCACCTCCTTCTGCGAGATGCCACGTCTGGCGCTCACTGTTCAGGTGGCTGCCCGGGTCACATCACCTATCTCCCAGCAGTGCCTAGAGTTAGTCTACATCGGTGAGGCCTGGAACTGGGGTGTAGGGTTGGTCCCGTTAGGATCTTAGGGCCCGAGGCCAGGAAAGGGGGGCAGATTTTGGGCAGCCAAAACCAGGACACCCTAATGGGGTTTCCAGGGCACCCACAGTGCCCAGCACTGCACTTGGGGCTTTATCTTCTTTAACTCTCTGGTGCCTCACAGGATTCACATGAGGTTGGTACTAACGTTATTGCCATTCTACAGATGGAGAAACTGAGGCCCAGAGAGTGGAACTAGCCATGGCACACAGCTAGTACATGGCAGAGGGAGATTCGAACCTTGGTTGGGTGGCCCCTAAGCCAGTTTGTAACCACTGTCCCTGACAGTCTCTCGACTGGGGTCATTATTCCCACGTCCTCGTTGCTAATGGAGAACCCGAGGCTCTGGGGTGGGGGGTGGGGGACTTCCCGGGCCCCACAGTGAGTTTCAGGAAGCCTCCGCTCAGCACACAACTTGCCGGAAAGGTGCCTTCCCTCTTGAACCTCAGTTTCCCAGCCTGCAGATGAGGAATCACTGCAGCTTCCCAGGTGACTGGGACTGTGGGAGCACAGGTGGGATTTTGGCCTGAAGGGGCTCTACAAACTTAAAGTACTTGGGCAGGGGGAGGGCAGGCTCCCCAGTGAAGCACCCAGTGCTGATGGGCCTTTGGGCGCAGGGGCAGGCTCCTGCGCCCTCACAATGCCTTGTGTGCCTTCCTGCTCCCTCCGGTTCTGCCCCCTTGGGGGTCCCCAGGGGAGCAGCCCCGAGCCCTTCCCTCTCTCCTCTGCTTCTCCCTGCCCAGGTCACCCTCAGCTACGGCGTCTTTGAGGGGAAGCTCAATGTCATTAAGCTACAGGGCCCCTTCTCCCCCGAAGAGGACCCTTCCAGGTGGGTCAGGGGCTGAAACTGTACAATGGGAGGAATGGGGCCTGAGCCCAGGGCCCCAGAGGTGGGGGAGCCGGGAGGGAGGGGTGTGAGAGAGGCCCCGGGCTGACCGCACCCAGCGGGGAGGGAAGGGCATGGATTTCAGTCCCTGCTCCACCACTGGCTTGCTGTGAACCTCCAGGTGCTGATGGGGAATTTTTATTTGATCTTCTCTAGGCTCTTTGTTTCCTTGATACTCTTCAATGGTTCTTTTCAATGGGTGGAGGGTTGGAATAGGGACTAAGATGTCACCTGGGCACCTTCCGGTTCCGCCCCCAAACTGGCCACAGGTTGGTTAGGGCCATTCAGCTCCACCCCTAATTGCTGTAGAGCAGCTTAGAGCACAGCCTGTAATATACAATGGCAGGGGGGACAAGACCTGTTCATGGACGTTAAGGAAGACAGTATAACTGGAAGGTGAGGGAAGATAGGAGCAGGGGTGTCAAATTCATTGGGGAGGTCACAGAGGACTCCCGTCCCCCCTAAGGCTTTGTGTCTGGACTTTGGATCCCTCTGAAGTGTGTACCCACCACGAAAGCAGCACCCCTGGCTCTGAGGCCCTGCAGAGCTGCCTGTCTGGGGGCAGAAGGCCCACAGCTATTCCGAGGGCTGCGGGGCCGAGAGGCAGCCTTCTAATGGGGTGAGCTCCCCATCAGCAGGGATATGCCATTGATGGCTATCCTGCCCAGAGGCTGGGGATCGATGTTAAGTTCTCTCAGCCTGAAGATTCTGGTATCCATGGGTTTCTGCCCATTGGGCTGAAGCCACCTGGGGACTCAGCTCTGCGGGGTCAGATGGGCCAGTCTCCGCTGAGCTCTTTATGGCTTCTCTGGGCCTTTAAAGTCGCTCTGAACCAGTGGTTCTCCACCAGGGGCCATTTTGCCCCCTGAGGACGTTCGTCCGTGTCTGGAGACATTTTTGGATGTTATGACTCAGGGACATGCTACTGGCATCTCGTGGGTAGAGTCCAGGGACGCCGCTAAGCATCCTACAATGCGCAGACCATCCCCGCAGTGAAGAATTAGCAGGCCCGAGTGTCAGCAGTGCGGAGGCGGAGAGCGCCTACTCCAAACCGTCTTTGCGACGTGCGCCCCCCTAGGGGCCCATGGGGAGGAGCATAGGAGCGGGGTGACAGTCTTGTCCGTTTCTGGTCTCCCCACAGGTTTCGCTCCCTACATTGTCTCCTCTACCCAGAAACTCCTTGGTGCCCACGGCTGGTGGCCCGATGAGCCCTGAACTGCTGGGCTGCTGTTGAGCTGAGGACTCTGCTGTCCCTCGCCTCCCAAGGCAGCCTTGAGGGCCTGTGGCAAGTGCCCGGGGCTGGGTAGTCCCCGGCAGGGCCTCCAGGTGGTGGGCGAGCCCAGGGCTGGATGGTGACTGGGGGTGAAAGCATCTCTGACTCCCAGGAAGTGGGGACCAGGGACTGGGTGAGGGCCAGAGAGGCCCCAGGGGCTGGGCTCCCATGGGCCCTGGGTGGTTGAAATGAACAGGGTGGGGGGCTTTGAGCTGGGCTGGGGCTCAGGAGTCCTAACCCTCAGAGAATGACATGGGCCCCTGAGCGGGGTGCGGCCCCCGCCCCCAGGCCTGGTCTCTCAGTCATTCTCGTGGGGTCCAGCACTGAGCCACCCACTCCTGAATCCCTTGGCTGGACCCCAACCACTGAGGGGACCTAGGGGGAACGGGGGCAGAAGGCAGGGTCTGTGACAGATGCAGCTTTTACTGACTGGTCTCCCGCTCCCCGCTCCCCACCCCCTGCTGGCAGAACCCAGTTTTGTTTGGCGCATCCGCCTGCCCAGGTCAGATCACGGATCGTCACCAGGTCCCGGCCCGCCCGATAATCCTTTGCTCACTTGCTCAGCTTCCCTGGCCGTTAGGAGCTACCGTGTGCCCCAGCTCTGCCTGAGTCCGAGCCCTCTGCTAGTGTGAGCTAACCAAAGCCGATAGAGAGGATCCTAGGGAAAGTTCGGCAGCCCTGCGCGCTGTCTTCCTGCTGTGAATGTGGATGCAATGTCTGGATCTGGGCAGCCACTTTGCTGCCTTGAAGGAAAAGCCCAGACTGTCGGCCACACCTGTCCATCTAGCATCTGGGTCTGTAAGAAAATTAAATCCTTATTTGTTCAAGCCTCTCTTGGCCTGGTTTTTTTGTTACACACAGCCATATGTTCCTGACTGGAGCAGGGTCTTTGATCCATCTGTTGTGGTGGTGACGGCCCTGTTGATTTGGGTCCCGAGCTGCACATCCTCGCTCTGCCCTCGGTGGGCGTGTAGCCTTGGGGAACCCACGTGGCCTCACTAGCCTGTCTGCACAGGGGTTTCTGTCCTTGTAGAGGAGAAAAAGAATACCTTCTTCACAGGCTGATGCCTGGGTGAGAGAGGACTGTGTCCAAAGGGCACAGCACAGAGCCTGGCTTAGGGAAAGGTGCCTGACTCAGTGAACGGCCACTGCCTTTACTGCGTGAGTTGCGGTGTGACAAGGAATGTGTGTGGCATGTACCCTTCTGCACATGCCTGTGCAGGAGGCTCATGTGTGGTGTATGTATGCCCCTGTCACATGTGTGTATATGTACACATGTGTCAGTACATGCATGCCTTGGGGTGTGCGGGAGCTATTCCTCCATTTATCTGCCCTCAGGGCCTGGACTGGGGGTGGCCAGAGAATCCAGGGAGGCAGAATGGAACTCGGAGCTGAGGGGTTCAGCCTCTGGTGTCGGATAAAGGGGCAATTTGACAGCCAAGGGGGGAGCTGGATAAATGCAAGTGCCTTTAGAATTTCAGGTCCCAAAGAGTTGGAGGAATGAGTGAAGTGGCCATGGGAAAATTTCAGGCCCGGTGGTGCGTGGCTGGGGAGGACTAGGTCCCTTCCCTCTCCTCCCACCCCCGCATCAGCGGGGCTCTGGGCTGGGGGAGGAGGGAGGAGAGATCCTAAGGGGTGGAGGGGCTCCTTTGGAGCACACCCTCCAGCCGCTGATGGGCCTTGTCTCTATGGCAACTCTGTCTGGAACCACCGGACACCAGAGCCTCAGCCCCTGATTTCTGGGAGGAGCCTGAGCCCCCGCAAGGGCCCCCTGGGTGCTGGGGGTCACACAGCCAGTCAGGTGCCAAGCCAGAGCACTCGGACTCTTCCAAAGCCTCTTTCCTCTCTGGGCCAACCTGATGCTGGGTTGGTGGGGTGTGAGCTGAGGAGGCGTGGCCCCTGGCCCTGCAGCCTGTGGAGGCAGCACGATGTCCTCCCATCTCTGTACGCGGAGGGCTGCCTGCCCGCCTGCTTTTAGAAGCAGCAGCAGACTCGTGAGCTGTTCTCGATTCTGAGGGTCGAGTGGAGGGAACAGGCCATCTGCCGCCTCCATTGTCCCAGAATAGCTGCTGGAGGGAGGGGAGTGGAGTCAGCAAGGACCAGAATTGGGATGGAGGCAGGAGTCCGGGTTTAACCCTCTGTGGGTCTATATGCGAGAGTTTGCCGCTGCCCGTACTAGGTGCTAGGGCGACGCTGTGGGTGGGAGTAGGGGCAAGGTTGGACTACCCGCCTTGGTCTTGCTGTGCCCCATGGTCAAACATTATTCCCATTTTACAGATTGTAAAACTGAGGCACAGAGAGGGTCCCTTAGTCCAGGTCACAGGGCTTCTGGGTGCCAGAGCCAAGATTTGAGGGGACCTGGCCCTGCAGAGGTCATCTCAGGGTGGGGCGACTCTGGAGGGTCGAGGACCCTTACCAGGCCTGGCTCCACCCTCCTTCCCATCTCCTGTTCTACACACCTGGGCAGGCGACTCCAATATGCACAGGTGTCACCTGTTAAACAGGCACAGTGACTTCTAAGCAGTGAGCTGCGTGGTCTCTGGAGACTCCACAGAAAGCTCCTGGCACAGGCAGCGTCTCAGTAAACATCACCCCCTGCCCTCTCTGAGCGCAGGGTCCTCGGCTGTGAAAGGGGGTGGCAGGGGTGCTGGCAGGGGTGCTGGCCTGGCTGTCACCTCCACGCCACCACCCAGGTCCCAGCCATCATCCATCCCACCTGCTTTACCAAAGCAGTGTCCTCGCTGGCCTCCCCACTGCTGGCTCCGGCACGCTGGCCACTGGCTTCTCCTGGGAGTGGGGCCAGGACCTCTGCCCGCACTGGCTCTTCGCTCTCCCTGGGGTGCACCTCTGTCTCTGCATGGCTGGGTCGAGCCCCAGTGTCCTCTCCTAGGGAGGCTCGCCCTGGTGGCCCATCGCCAAGCGCCCACCTGACAGCAGCCCCTGTCAGCCCCTCCCTCTGCCCGCTCTCTGCGTAGCTCTAACCTCCGCAGGCCCGTCTCTGGGTGGTGCCTCTGCTTACTCATGTATTTGTCATCAGTCCCCAACTGACCGTTGGCTCCACGGTCCCAGGGATCGTCTTGGTTCTGGTCACTGCAGCTCACTGCCTGGCACCTAGTAGATGCTCAGCAAATACTTGCGAGATGAGTAGAAAAACATGTGAATGGGTTTCTCAGATCGCTTCCAGCTGTCAGTGCCTCAAGATTCTACCAAAGGCGCTAAAACCACTGGGGGCGCGGTGGCGGGGAGCTTGGCAGTGGAGGGTCAGGCTGGGGGCGCGGATCACTTTTAGTATCCCCCCAAAGAGGAAAACTTGACTGTAGGTGTTCCTGATACCTGCAACAGGAAGGACACGGCACCAACTGGGAAATCCGCTTGCCAAATTAATTGACTCTGCACAACACAACCTTCTAAATACCCGTTTTCTGGAGTTGCGAGTGGGGGCGTGGAACATGCTAAGCGGCACCAGGAGAGTTCAATCTACCTGATGAACAATGAAGACAAAGGACCTCGTTTCTTCAACAAATAAAATGGCATAAAAAAGGAAGGGAGTAAAGACTGTTAGAGATTCAGAGAGATCTGAGAGTCATGGCCACAAAATACGAGCCATGGACCTTGTTTAGATCCTGGTTTAAATAAATGGATCCTGAAAAGACACTTTTTTGAGAAAAATGAGGAAATTTGAACATGGACCTGTGTTTGATTCATATTAAGAAGTAGTTAGTTTTATTCAGTGTGACAACAATCTTGTGTTTTTCTTCAATGTTCTAATATGTGAGAGACACATTCTGATACATACTTATGGATCAAATGATAAAACATCTGGAATTTTCTTTAAAAAAGTGCTTGAGGGGAGAGTGAAATAAGAATGACAAAGCGGGCATGGCTGTTGAAGCTGGTTATGGGCCCACGGGGATTCATTATATTATTCTTTCTTACTGTGCTGTGTGCTTGAAAATTTCCATGATAAAAAGTAAAATAAGGAGGGCGCATAGACCTGCCGTCTGCTGCCTCTGGCTCTCCGCCTCCGTTCTCTTCCCCTGCCCCCTCCTCCACACCCCACATCCGGTCCAGGGAACACCTGTTTTCATCAGAAACAGCGGTCCCAACTTCACTTCCTGTTCTCCCCAAACACCCAGGGAAAGGAGAGGCAGACCTTCACCCTTGCCTCCTCCGCATGTGGCTCTTTGCCTGGCTGCCCTGAGGCCCACCCTCAGTTCTTTTGATTCTGAGCACTGGTCCCAGCAGCTTTGTAGCCCAGAACACTTTCCTTGGGCACAGCCATTGGACACATTCCTCCACCCACTTACCACGCCCCCCCAGCCAGCCACCCAATAAGAATTTATGGCTCACTCCTTTGTGTGTCTGCGTGTGTGTGTGTGTGTGTGTGTGTGTGTGTGTATCCTGCGTTAGAAGATACACAACGGAATTAGGTGTAAGCCCTGCTCTCAGCAGGGAGCTCAAATATCAGTCAGGACAGGTGTCATGTAATTGATAACAGGCAAACACACGGCACAAGGAGGGAAGACTAAAATCTGGGGGGTGGGGTCTGTGGGGCAGCAGGGGTCAAGAAGGCTTGATGTGCAGAGTGATGTTGGGTCTGGGTCTTGATCCATGAGGAGATCAAAAGGAGCAGAATACGTCCCATGCTGCCTTGCAGAGAGGGCTATGGACACCCTCAGGAAAGATACAAATGCTGTGGTTATGAACACAGCTGTCTCTATGTGCCTACTTATCTTGCAGGATAAAGGGGAGGGAGGTACCTGGTCCAGGGTCCACACAGAACAGAGGCAGTGCTCCCGCTCCTTCCCTCCCTACATCTCCTGAATGATTTTGTGATGTCTCCCCAGAGCAGAGACCCTATCGGACACATCTCTGTACCTTGTAGTATCTGGCACAGTGCTAGGTACCTAGCAGGCATTTCAAAGGCTGACTACTGAGGTGAGAGAGTGAACCTCAGGCCAATCCCAAGAATCACAGGTGCTTGGTAGAAACATATTCCAGGGCCCTGGGCTATACATCTTCAGAACTCAAGTCTCCAAAGGAGGGGACAGGGAATCTGTATTTTGAGCCGGTTCCCAGAGAGGCTCTAGTTGTTAGACTGGAGAATGAAGTGGGGCTGAAGGAAGTTCAGCACCATGGACAGAACCCCAAGGCTGTCTTTCTGCTCTTTCCTCAGGACCAGCTGGGGCAAGGGCATTCATTCCGTGAGTGTAGGTGGCCCTGAGGTGGGTCAGGTGACACCGGTAGCCTTGATCCCCACAGGCCACAGCCCTCGCCTGAGCTTCAGGAGTGAGTTTCAGGGCAGGCCCTGGTCCTGCTGTGGAAGACAGCTCTGACTTGGCCCAGGAAGGGGCCCTATAATAAATATCTCTTCCATTTCTTTTATAAGTTGTAAGAGACCTCCATACTGTGCAAGAAGCAAAGCATGAAGCCTCAGCCAGTGTGAACAAATTAATCCTCCAAATATGGTTTGAGCACCTACAGTGTTCAAGGGCCGTGCTGGTAGCCAAGGGGCACATGAGGATGAGCGAGATACAGCGGCCACCCCGCGGAACCCACAGTGTGCCAGACATGGTTCATTGATTGTTAGGAAGGAGAGCGGCCTGGAAGATAACAAGACTCCAGTTAGCGAGTGTGCATACTGGAGAGGCAGCCGGGGGCGTGGAGAGGACAGTGTCTTGGTATATCCAGACACTGGATATGTGACCTGGCCCTGGCACAGACTGGGTATATGACCTTGGCTCTCAGAGCCTGAATTTCCTAACCTAGCACACGGGAGTGACTACATCTGCTCTCGGCACCCCTCCTGGGCATTTGTCAGGA